GTTCTGCTTCAGTGGACTAACACCCGAGCAAGTGGACAGCCTGATGAAGGACTACAGCGTGTACCTGACCAGAGATGGCCGCATTTCTATGGCCGGTGTAACTAGCAAGAATGTAGAGTACCTGGCCGACAGCATTCACAAGGTGACCAAATAGATTATATCAATGCCTGGAGCCCCACACTTATCTGCGCCTGTTCGCATTTATAGAAATTGTATACAGCTAAGAATAAGCTAAACAGATTATTGCCGTTCACCAGTCCGACCCTGTACATAAGCTAAATCGTCTGCCGTTCAAATAAAGCATTCTAGCATTTTATAGTTAACAACAGCTGTTATTAATATGTATGTATGTATGTATATATGTATAATGTGATATGAACTCGTGTGTTTCGTTTCATAGATAAGCTGTACAGCAACTCAAAGTATGAATCTGGGCCTAGCATGTTCTATATATAGATTGTTTATAATCATATTCTAATAATAATATATGAGGCCTCAAAGAAAGTCAAATAACATTCATCAAGAGCGATTCGACTATAATGATATCATTATTGAACAATACATAGTACAAATAAGTGTAATTCCTAAGGCAGGGTTAGAGTTATTCAAACACAGTTGTAGCCGGTTGTCGTTTTGTGAGTTTAATGAACGTAACAATTAGTTTTTTTATGGCGCCGCTTGGGGTAATTACAAAAAGAGCTAGTAAATCCAATTGTTTAAATGTACATACAAAACTTACAGTAGCTGGCAAATAATACTATACATTTTGACTACCGTTTTATCTTTAATTTAACTAATATTACATTGTTTACTTACCACCCAAATATCTAGATCGAATTCTATATTAGTTCCATTAAAGATTTCTGACATTTGGTTTTAAAGTTGTTTCTATTAGCAGCTTCTCTCTGACCAATTTGATTACATGGTTTTGTTTTTCTATTTATTTTTGTTGTATATATATGTATATATATATTTGTAAGTATATATATAACTAGAATCACGGTTTGTTATAACGATATCTTAACTTATCGCTTGGCTCACAGTACTCCTTGATAATTAGCTTACATAGGAATATATGAAATACTACGATTATTGCACAGACTGAGACCCAGAAGAGTGCGGGCAGCCCACCCAATTGATGGCCATGTTTATGCAGCGCTATGAGATGCTGTTCGTGCGCCGGAGCTGAAGATAAGAGTTGTAATTAAAACCAAACAAACGTAGATATTTATAGAGACAGATAAGCTCACCCTCCACGACTTCCTTAACATGTATAGCATGATGAATTTCTTCCATGTGTTGCTTATCCTCGGTTATATATAATATTGCAGTTAATGGTTCAGTCAATTTCACAGGAAATTCTCGACGATTTTGGCTGTTGAAGGAAAATGATCAGTCATTATCTTCATTGATATTATGGGATATATTATATCCTTTACGTACGTTAGTAGGATCGGCTCATCCAGACAACCGCCATCGCATGCATAGTAACTGCGATCGGAACGATCCAGGGCCACATAGATAACCGCCTTGTTGTCTTCCTTAACAATAATTGTCACATTGACATGCGTTTTATTACCATAGTTGAGGCGCCTGAAGTGAAAGTCACGATGCAAGAATTTCGGATGCATATTACATTCCAAATGTTGGTTGCTAAACCGAAAGCTACCAAAGCTCAGAGTCATAGCCTGAATGACGCCCGACGCGCCAGCACGTATCAAATTGTGGCAGCCTTGCTTCTCCAACGTAAGCATCCAAGAAGACACCAGGGAATTAAGTTGATTCAGCGTGGACATATCACGCCAAAGATTCTCCGCCTGAAGCGTGTGATAACTGTCGTAGCAACCCTCAGCGTATGTCAACGCCTTGGCAATGTCCTCTCGTATTCCCGCAGCGGACGAACTTCCGAACAAGCTGGAGGACATGTCTTCAAATTCAAAGCTGCGTACTTGGGATAGAACAGCATACATGGTGGCATTAATTCTATCGCCGTTTAAACTATTCTCAGCCTTCGATGTGCTTATCGTGAAGCCCGTCGCCCACAAATCTGTCCAGACGTTAATATGTTCTTGGCGATACATGTTGATGCTGTTAACCGAACCGGAACCAGATGCCTTAGCACTGAGCCTCTGTAGCAGCTTTGTCATGGCCTGAATCGAATGTTGTTCGATGTTGTCGATGGTCGCTTTTAATTGAGTTTCGGTCACGGGTTTCGAATACTCTATGATCATTGGATAGATTATTTGTACTGTGCCACGTTTACGCAACTGTAATTTCGTTTCTAGTTGCGGTTTTGCGATGCTAATGACGACCAACTTGCTCGGATCATCTTGTGAAGGCTGCACAGTGCCCGAAATAACTTCCAAGCCACTGTATGTGAGCATTCCAATTTGTACTGGATCGCTACAATAGATGGTTGTTGAAGATATACATACACATATATATTCCATGTAAGTTTCTCTGACTCACCTCAGCGGTATGCTGCGCGTAGATGACTTGGGCAAACGATTGCGGGACATTATTAGATCAATGCTCTCAACTGTATTACGGGTATTGGTAATTTGCAGCTCTTGCATAAGAACGTTGGGCTGTGTGCGATGTGCATACAGTGTGTAGGAAGCAAAGTAGCCAGAGAAACATTGAAATCTGTGCACCATTCCCGTCAAATACTCAACAACCGTTGCTTCTTTCTCGCCCGCATTTCCACCATTCGGTGTGACGGACAATAATGGATAGAAGCGTATGGGTAGCTGCATGGCGCGTCCATGTTTTATATTTAGTGACGCACCATGCGACACCTCCATGCCAATATAACCGTTACCGACATAGGGCGTGTAGTCTCGCTCGCCCGGCATCAATGGAGCCACGTGACGTATGTTTGCATCGTATTCGTAGTTCTGCAAGATGTAGGGCGTTAGGCGGTCGTCCATGCACATACTGTGTGGATCTAAGACACGCACAATAAACAAAGACATATTAATTGATGATGGTATGAAGCGCGATAAATACGTTACCTTTTTGCTCTGTTGGGCTTAAAAATAGATAACGAAATATGGGTGGCAGCATATAAAAAACTATGCACACGCACAATAAAAGTAAAAACAAACGCCGGTATGACGATAGAGTGCCTTCAACTAGACGCTTCAGTCTCCGCACAATATCCACGGTCTCGAATTTGTTTTTGGCTGATCGTATAAACATATTGATTGCGTTATAAACATTTATTTCGCATTGGAAAACTATTTTCAAAATGCTACTGATTGGCCACAAGTTGTGGCCAAACTCACAAATTTATCTTTGTTCTAATATCAAATCGATTCATCGATATATAAAACATCGACAATGTAATAGAAATAGTGGCATTCCAAATCCGTCACGACATTCAAAGCCGTATGTTTTTATATATTTATTTTTGCTAAGTCTTTATTTTTATCATTACCTTGGCCTTAAAGGTTTGACCTCTTTAGCGGGAACCTAAGTATTATTTTGTTTTTAGATCCTGACAACTGGATATGAATTAAACGAGCTCCAATTAGAATTTTTGTTATAACATGCATTGACCGTGAATTTTTAATATTTTCAAACCAACAAAAATTAAGAAAATTTATATATTACAATACCGTCAGGCTAGTTTATTTTTTATTTACACAATAGCAAGTAAATTAAATTTGAATAAATCAGTTGAATTAATTTCAAAAATTCGATCAACTTTGTTTTTTCTCAGATTCATCGATCGTGCTATTCAGTCTGCATAATATCGATATTTTAATATCCATATTTATATTGATATTCATTGTGCAAGGCAATGTCTAACAAGCTAGACTTATCCAACTCTTCTTTTAAGACATGTTTAAAAAAAAGACATCTTTTAATTCCATTGGTTTGTTTGTTATTGTTCATATTCATCAAATATACGATAGAATTTGGAAGTGATCTTAATGATCAATCCCGAATCGAATGTTTGTTTTGTAACATTGCCCATGGTAGAATAACGCCACCAAAACTGGAATTTGAAAATGACGAATATGTTATTTTCAAGGACAAAAGCCCAGCTGCCACTTATCACTATTTGGCCATACCTAAGCAACACTTTCACAGTCTGAAAGTACTCAATAAATCCCACGTGGGCTTAGGTAAGTAACGGTGAAATAATTAACATATTTTAAATGTGTCTTGTTTGTTTATTATGTAGTTGAGCGCATGCAGAATGGAATGATTGATTTCCTTGAATCGAAAAATGTGAGTATAGAAAATGCTGTGATTGGCTTTCATATTCCGCCGTTTATATCACAAAAGCATTTGCATCTGCATGGAATTTCTCCCAAATCTGAAATGGACTTATCAAATCGCATAAGTTTCTTCACACCCTCGTTTTGGTTCAAATCCGTGAGTAGATGAATATAATATAAATTTGTAAAGTAAAAAAACGAAGAAATATTTTTAGGCCAATGACGCAATAGAATCTTTAAAAGACGCGGACCTCTAGTCATGAAAGTCAGGAGAGGCTTGCATCCTTAAAAAGCACTGATCTCTAATTATGACAAGGAAGCTAAATATGTAGTTACTTGCGTCCAATTATGAACAGCATACATTCGTTGCTCATTGTTCAAGTTTCCTCAAACCGCTCGAACCATTAAGTTAGGTGTTACTGTGTAAATACAAGTTTTCAAAAATGTCTTAGGATATAAGAATAATAATCCCTTCTAACACAAAATAAAAAGACAAGTTTTATATTAATATCTAAAAGGATCTCATAGCAGCAAACCTCATTCAATTTGTCGTAAGTAGTGGATTTCTAAGCGAATATCCTTCATTTTCAATAAAAATATATGAAAATCGAAACGTAATCTTAAATTCTAATGTCGTGGCACCTGTCAAGAAGAGAAAACGTAATTTTTTTATGGCAACGGTGTGCCATGGCAACGTACATCGATAGTTGGCGCATCTTCCTACCGATAGGTATGAAAGTGTTAATACGAACTATATCGATAGTGGAATCGATTGCTTTGCAACACTAAAAATCAGCACCAGCAAACGCTGAATTTTAGTTTGTTTTAGTTACAAGATTCGCGAAAACCTTTTGGGGAAATTGCTAAATTAAGTTGCAAATTAACGGATTGGAGCACTTCAGACGTAGTGCGTTCTAAACAATGCGCAGCATGTGGCCGCAAACGCTGGAAATGTCCCGCGACGAATGTCGGGGCATGCTGCGTCGACTTGGTAGGTGATGTTCTGCTGCTGCTGCCGCCACCGCCAGGAGGAAGCACTTTATGTTATACAGCACCAGCAGCAGCAGCAGCAGAAGTTCTGCCTCCGTGGATCACGATTTTTGTTTGCTAATTGGTGCCCGTTTTGTTTGTATCGTTCATGTAGAGTTAGAATCGTATTCGCATGTAATAAGCGTTTTTCGCGCCCAAGGCTCGCTAAGCGAACCGAAAGCAAAGCTGCTCGAGGAGTTACGCCAACTGTTTCATATTACCCAGGAACGTCATCGGGCGGAGGTGCGCCGCGCTGCCAACGATGAACAATTATGCACAATTGCCGAGAAGTAAGCAATTGTAAAATGTTAAATAAGCGTGCATATTTTACATATATATATACTTAAATGTATTACCACAAACATTTTTAGCGTCTGCGGTCCGAACACATGGCAGGAATGGTCACGTGAAGGTCGTCGCCCATATCCGCTGCTGCCACGGATTAGTCCGCAGACTGCCCTGAGCATTGTGGCCAACGATTTGGCTGCCAAGGCCTATGCGGAAAACAGCAAACTTCCGCCACCAAATGAAACTGGGGCAAATCTAAGTGAAGCGCTACGAGAACAGGCAGCCTATCAGACCCTTAAGCATGGCATAACAAAACATCAGGAGCCAATCGTGGTCATGGATGAGCCGGTGAGTGTGGCAGCATTATATAACTTGATCGGGGGCTATATACATAAGTATTTACTTGTGCTGCTTTTGCCTCATACGTATGTATGTGCGAATATATATGAGCAGAGAAAGTACAGTCTGCGCCTGGGTCTCACTTGTGCTGCTGTGGTGGGCAGCAAGGAAAAGCCAGGCTAAGGCAAATCTAAGACTGGCGTAGGGTCTTAGATTGTAGTCTGAAAGATCTACGTACACAGGTTGTAATTTACTATTAACTTATTTACTTTGCAACCCAAAAGTTTCAATTCTAATGTAGCCGCTTAGTATGGTTAATGCATAATTGATTCGATCTTCCAGTCTTAACTGGAAAAGGGGTGTTCCTTTATCTAAGTAGTCCATTCCCAATCACTGGTGCCAAATTTTGCTGTCGCAAGGTTGTGTATTTAATTTTTATTTAATTCAACTCTGCATCGGCAGTTAACAGCCGCTGCCAGTTAACAGTGTTAGTAAACTGTTAACTTACATTTTAACTTGCAGCTGATTGCTAGCGGCTAAATGTTATAATCGATAAGAAATCAATATTGATCGATTTAATAAATAAAAAACTCCAATTACGAAATTTAAAAATATATATAAAATGGAAGATGATTATTTCAAGCTATAATTAAGTAATCAATACGATTAATTTCGAAATTAAAAATAATATGTAAACAATATTTTGCAAGCCATTTATAAATATGTATATATTGTAAATTTAATTTAATATATTTAAAAAAATGTAAACTTTCTAATCCACATTCATTTTATTATTCTAGTTTAAGGTGCCCGACTTGCCAAACGAAATAAAGAAGGCTACGCTAAAGCGCAAGGAGAATGAGAGCAGCGACACGAAACCGAATAAGAAACGCAATACACAACAGGTACAGGTACAGCTGCAGCAATTGCCATCGCAGCTAAGTGGGGGCAAGGATGAGGATGGGCAACTTGTGCCACTGGAGCAGCGTCCCAATGCCCGTACGCTGCAGCAACGATATTTCTATCAGCAGCAACAGAAACACAAACAACGATTGGCTAGCAAAAAGGGCAGCGGGAATTCGTTGGCCAACAATAGCAATGTTTCCGGTGTCGGCATTAATACGAAGCCGGCTAAGAGCGGCCGCCGGCGAGCACAAAAACAGCTGCAACAACAAATGCAACAACAAAAAGAAATACAGCAACAGCAGGAATTACAAAAAGAACAAGAACAGCAGCAGCAACAACATCAGGAGCAGCCGCAGCATCAGCAGCAGCAACAACAGCAAGAAAAAGTATTACTATCCACGCCTGTAACAACGCCAGAGCTATCAGCACATCCAAACGCCAATCACTTGGTGCAGCCGCACGTGGAATATATTTTAGATGAGGCGCTCAAATCGGTTGCGGCCACCAAATTAAAAACGATACCTGCCGCTCGCGTTGTCTATGGACCTCCGGAGATGCTCTCTCCGACGACGCCGCGCACATTTGTTAATTCGCCCATTGTTTTCAAGGAGAAATTATCGCCGACGACGCAGACGATTCAGCCGCCACAATTGAGCACACCTGTTAAGAAATACATTGTAGAAGAACGACAGCCAATAACCGGCAGCACGCAGCCAGCGTCCGCAAACATCTCAACGGCTAACTTGCCGCTCGCGCCACAGATTATAAGCGTTCAGCAAATAGCAGCCCCACCGAAAGTACGGACAACGGCAAGCGGCACCATTTTGCCAGCCGGCACCAAGCTGACGCCGAAGAAGATCAATCTGATCGACAAGCAGCAGTTGCCTTCCGTGCCCAACACAGCCGTACGTCTCTTGCCCTATGAGCAGCAATCGGCCGCCAGTCCAGCGACGTCCATCAACAATCTCGGCAGCAGCAAGGCGCCAGCCACAGCTGCAGTGCAAAAATACATTGTTGAGGAGCGAGTGCCCAGCCAGACTGTGGCTAGTGTGGCCAGCACACCGTTGAGCAGCGCCTCGACTGTGAATATTATAAAGAATATACCAGCGAGCAGCTTGAACAACACGCTTATCACGCCCTTGAGCAGCTCCTCGGGCACGCCTGTGGGACCGCTATTCCGCAAGGCGACGGCGACAACAACAAGCACAGCGGCGACGTCGGTGACGGCAGCTGGCAGCAGCAGTGGTGCTGCGGCATCGACTTCACAGATATTGGGCAACATTAAGCTGACCGGCGCCGGCGGCATCAAGCATGTGCCCAGCAGCGCGCTGCGCAACATCAAGATCTGCTCGCCCAACGGCAAACTGTTCCTGCAACCGGCCAAGCTGCATTCGGGCAGCATCATACACAAGCTGAATCCATCAAACGTTGCCGCTGGCGCGGCTGGTGTTACTGTCAGCAGTGCTGCTGTCTCGCCCACTGGCGCCGGCACGCCCTCCTCGCCGCAGTCGTCGCAGCAACGAATAACGATACAGAAAATGCAGCTGCTGACGCCCACTCAAGTGATCTCGAGTGCCGCGGGCGGCACGAGCAACGTTGGTGTCGTCTCCACGTCCAGCATTGCGAGCAGCGGCAGCAAGGTTAAACCCACGACATTGACGCTCGGTGCAGCAGGGGTTGGCAAGAATAATTTGGTGTTTCTACCCACGAGTGGAATGCGAGCAGTCACACTGGCCTCCAGCAAACCCAAGCCCAGCGGCGAGCTGCTTGCGGCCAAGCCCAATGTGCTTGTCATTGGTCCATCAACTTCTGTCAATGCGGCTAACAATTCACAAGCAACGGGAACGGCAACTGGAACGGGCACAAGCCCAGGCACGGCAACGGCTGCGCCGTCATCTGCATTGGCAAAGTCAAAGCCGAATCAGCTGATTACAGAAGATACGCCTATAGATATTATTAATATGCCCATCATTGTGGCAGACAATGGCGCGCCAGAGACGAAGACGTCGGCCAAGTCGGCGCCAATGGTGGTCCTCAATGCCACGGACTGGGAGATGGAGCTGGATCAGGCATCCAAAGCGGCAGCTGCTACGAATGCAACAGGCACAGCATCCACAACAATGGCGAATGATACAAAGAGCAATAAGCAACAGTTGGATGATGTCATTGTAGAGGATGCAGCAGGGGAGGACACGGAAAATGCAAGCTCCCAGCTCAAAGATCGCAGTAAGTAATATGGCGTATTTAGATCAAGCCACTTGAAATCATCAATATCTATTTAGCCATAGAAATTCAGGACGATGGGGACAGTGCCATTGAATATGTAGACATGGAGCTAGAGCAGCCCATTGAGATTGAGTGTACCAGCAACATATCGCCAGAGACAATGACGACGACCACCACCACGACCACATCTCTCAAAGCAACTATAATGCCACCCCTGGCGGAAGATGAGAAAAAGCTGGACCAGCCGGCAACAGGAGAACAAGGAACGGGGCAAGCAGCTGTAACGACAACAACGATCCCGGCAAAGACATCGACGCTGCCATAGGTAGTCCGAGGTGTCCCAACTGTTTATTTCGTTATAGTTGCTCCATGTACGCACAAACAGACATATATACAAACACTCACACACTCACATACATACACACACATAAAGCCCGGTTTAATTAGGATTCAGTTATTAGTTTAGTAGACCCAAGTTCTTTAAGCAAAGTGCAACATTATAATTACTTGTAAATGTATTTGAAAAAAATATTTGTAAAAAAAAAGGAAAAATGAAAACAGAAAAAGCTTGAATATCGATTATGTAATTTAAAACTATGTGGAATTTTTGATTCTTGTTTTGAATTATTTAAACTTCTCCAAGCTGCCACCATCGAAATATCATCAAATATTTGTATACATTGTAAATAGCATATTTCTCTCATTTAGTTTTTAGCCCCTCGATAAGTTCATTACATAACTCAAACACGGAAAGAAACTGAGAACAGAAGCGTCAAATCATAATAATTAAAGTGTGTGTTTCAATGAGATTATAGTTTTAGTTCATTTATGGCCGATCTAAATGCAAAATGTAAATATTTAAGCGAAAACAAGAAAACAAACAAATATGAAGAATTTTCAAAATGCTACAAGCCATATAAATTCATGTATATGTATCGTGTAAAGAGCCGATTAGAGATTAGTTACCAGGACAAAAGTTTAAGAAAAAAGTTGAAACAAGAATAATCCAACACACTCATACACACACGAACACACTCACACGCATTAATATATACATAGACATTTATAACTACGTACGAACAGTTTAAATCTTAAGTATTTTATGCATCGATTTTGTAAATCTAAAAAGAAAAAAAAAAAACGTAAACAGTGTAGCTTTTAGATAAAAAAAAAAAAAACAAACAAAACGCAATCGAAGCGAAACCACCACAAAACGGTAAAACAAAATGTAACTATACAAATATTGTTGAACAATGCGTGCAGCTGTAAAATTTTTAACATAGAAATTTTAAATGAAATAAATATAAATTAAGCATAAAGTAAATATTTTAAATTCATTTGAGACCGATGAGGGAATTCCTTTCTTTCTGACATTAGACAAACTAAAGGAATTTTCAATGTATAGCTTCAATGATTAATTTGATAGCGACAAAGCCTAGGCTTATTAATCGGGGCAATAAGCTTAAGATCGAGATCTTTCTAGAATCATTAAAGACAACATTATGACTCAAGTCTGGATAAATTCAGCCATTCGGGAGGTTTCGGAGATATCTAGTTCTGTATTACGCCAATTATAGGTCTACGATTTCCCCTGCTTAAAGAATATTATTTCAAGCTTCCGTCAAAATAAGCTCGCGTTTTGGGTGGGTGGAAAATTCATTCCTTTAATAACGCAAGCATCCATTTATTTACAACAAAATAAGATATTAATTAATCTCTATACGCGTTCAGCGTAATTTACCTGATCAAGAAAAAGTTGTATTTATGTTATATAAATGATTAAGAATTGGAGGTGTATCAAAAATAAATGGCTCCAAAAGGAATAAAATTTGTACACTGTAGTTAATAGATAAAATGAAGTTATCTCAATTATGAACAAACCAGATAATTCAAATATATTGAAAATTTTGTTATCTTTTGTGTATATTTGTATACCATACCGCCGCTTAACACGATGCCGTGGACTCAATAAAAAGATGCCAAACTCAAGATTAGGTATAGGATGAGTTTTGACAGGGATTGATCGAGCTTTTACTTTTTAGTATATAGATCATTTGTATAGACCGATAGAAAGATAGTACGTTAACTAAACTTATGAATAAATTTTTCAGTTGCGTCCCAAGGCCGTGCCATGACCCCAGGCTGAGTTGGCCGCTTGACGTGGAGGTGCTCTGCTCTCCGGTGGAATACCAAAGCCGCTAATGCCACCAGATACGTCCGGAGCAATACGTTTTCTGAAGCAAAGAGAAATAATATTTGAAGAAATGCTAGTGAAAATCAATTTATATATATAATGGGATTATTCATAGCAAAGTATAAATAAAATAATCACTTTTGTTTATTCTGATTGTATTTTCAAACTAACGCGACACATTTATTTATTATGTGTGTGTGTGTGTGTTATAGCTTGACAACTCTGATACTCGTTACAAAGCTTTAAATGATGCAATACTCTTTTTCTCTTAGCAATGCCCAAGCTGCAGGTGGTTAAGAGAACAATGAGTCGGCAAAAAAACAAACAGAGTCTTGTGTAAGCTGATAAGAGCATCGGATCGCTGAATAAGGGCCGCTCTCATGGGAGCCAAGTAAATACAAAGTTGCTTGGGACAACATAACGATTCCTTTCTAGATTTTTCCAGTTGACCGATTCCATATGTTGTGTGCTTAGATATTATTAGCTTAAATTATTTATATGTACATATGTATATACTCACAAAAATTCGGGTGTCTCGAGAAATGCATTGCCGCCCAGCTCCTGTGGGTATTGGAATTTGAGGAAATAATAAACGTGTCCGTTGAATATGCCCACCAGTGAGGCCAAAGAGCCGTGGAAAACTAGCTCAATGCCGGCTAGCACCCAGGGTAGGTACATGGCCTTGAAGCGACTGCCGAACCAGAAGCTAACAATGACCTCCTTGTTCAGTTGGCACCAAATGTAGGTGATTGCAACGACCAGCATGTCCATCAGAAAGTATACGTTGAATAACATGCCGCCGAGATTGGCGAGCACTGCAGTGATTATCAATAGATATAGGTAGTCGGAGGGGCTTCTCGCATATTGATCCTTTTCCAGATTCTTGCTGTACTGCGTTATGAAGTAGCAGTTGATCAGAAAGTGGAAGCCTGTCGCTCCGCTCAGTGGAAACACGAACAGGGAGGTGATGCATCGCCACAGCTGTAACCGGGTCAGCACCAGCTCACGGGATAGGTACATATATTCCATTGGCAGCAGACCGAATCTGCAGAGCAGGCTCATGCCAACTGTGGCTGTTAGCCAGTACCGTGTAAAGCGAGGCAATGAATGGTACCATGTCCCAGCGTCCATCGTCCTTAATATTAATATACAATGTCTTTGAATTTGCAAAACAGTCTTTCACTTCCAATTGTTGATTTACGTGTCTTTATACAACAGTGTGGCTGCCTAACATAACTTGTAGAATACCAAAAATACAAAACGTTTGCCTATAAAAGAAAAATAAACATACACACTATTATGATAATTATGTATCAAGTAATGTACACATTGATAAATTAAAATAAAATAAATTTTAACTTTTTATTAAATTTTAGTCATTTCTGCCAAATTAAGAAGTGACATTCAAATACCTATAACAAGTTACAGTTCAATGTAATTTATCGATAGTCTGAAATCGATGCGCGGCAAATTTATTTCTTTTCAAATATTGGGTGCATGTTTTCCAGACGTATTAATAAAAATAATTGTTTATGGTTCCGATTGTCAACTATGAAAGCATACTGTATCAGAGCTGAACAATAGTGAGGCGCTGATGCGAAACTAATGTAGATCTGGCGATTTTTAAAGTGGAAATGTGGTGAATAAAAGAAGAATGAAACGCAGGCAAGTAAATTGATCGCTGTCACATCAGTGTCATTCCTAACTGTAAGTGGTTAATTTTGAGGACAATTTTTTACGAAAATCTATTCACGCAGATAAGCCACGTGGAAAACAAGTAAAAATATTCATTGTGCGCAACCATCTGTATAAAACATTAAATGTACGTTAGTCCACATATATAGGGTATGTCAATCTGCATATAATAGTGATCCAGCTGTAAAACTACTATTGCGAATAATTTCTGAAAATTAATATTTAATTTTAAAACATAATTTAAATTCAATCAAATTCAAAATACTGATAAAGACACGCTGGAAGCTAATTACCTGTGTATTTTTTACAATACAGTTGAGTACCTAATGAATATATGTATGTATCTCCATTTGACTTCTCTAAACTAAGTTTATTACATACTAATTTTTTTTTTATAAATTAACAAATATCTAATTTAGGGGTTTTCTCCTAATCTAATTTCTCATTTTTGCCAACACAATTTATTAAATTGAAAGCAAAAGTTTTTTGCGTGCAAAGTGTGTAAAAGCAATTAAAAAGATACATTTCTATGCAAAAGACAAAACGTATCTTCTCTTAACACAGCAGGCACAAGACGCAATACACACAGATCAACACACACACACATGTGTGATTTTTTGTTGCCTGTTGAATTTTAATACTTTGTGCATAATGTGGCTACAAACACTCAGCAGCGAGAGCGAGACAGATAGCGACATAGGATACGAGTGCGAATGCTGAAATGAAAAGAACGAGCTAATCAAGTAATTTTTTTTAACGGTTCAGTGTGTGGCTTGCTTACGTTTGGTGTGTGTGTGTGTGTGTTTGTGTGAGACTGCTTGCTGTTGAGTGTATGCGTGTGCGAGGCCACACCCACCATTTAAATGCAAAATGGATGATACAACTACAGACGCATGCGCTGCCAGCAACAACACGCCCACATGCGCGAATGCTCATTATGAAGTTCTTTGCTGTTTTAGTAGCTGTTGACAAAGTGCACAAACACACGCGCATACAGATGTATGTACACGTATGTATGTATATCAGTATGTGTGTGCGCGGGGTTTTATTTATTTACGCGTTGAGCTTTTGCAGCGCCTTCCACTCACCTGGACCGCTGTCATTTTGTTGTCGGCGTTGCCGTTTTGCTCGCTCATTTCGTTGTAATGTGTATACATACACATAAGCATCTACACACATACATACATATACATACAATATATAGTAGTAGTATGTAAATAATATGAAATTTCTCAAGTACATATGAGAAATGGCCTGAGCATTTTATATTCTTAACTCGAACAGAGTCTATATCATATTTGATATGCAGATATTGAAAAGATGAAAGTTTGTATATATGTATGTATATACATATAAGTATATAGTTTACAGATATGACTTTTATGTGCATACATACTCATGAACTATTTGTTCCATGGGAATTTTAGCCTGCGTATCAGACATTTGGCATCTATCCTAATTACAGTAATTACTTGATTACGAAATCTCCCAGGGTGCACAACAATTCATATCCCTTTCAAATATACATACATACATAAATGGACGCGTAATTATGTATGTTTGTATGCAAGTACGCATGTAGAGGCCAACTAGGACATACTCTTCACATACGTAACATACATACATACATACATACATACATATACATATGTATGCGTATCGTATGCGTATTTACTCACATTATGTTTTTTACAGTTTTTCACATTCCTTCAGCGCTCGCTATCTTCATCTCACTCTCTCGTTCTCTAGATAATAGCTCAGCGGGGCTTGGTAGGTTAACCTAACAGGGGGCACCCAAAAAAAAAAAACAAAAAAAAGTATAAGAAAAAGAAAATAGAAAAAGAAAAAACTCAAACATAAATGAGAACGCAAAAAGAGGCAAATCATAAGAGGAACGTGCGCCGCCAAATTGCAGTACAAATATGTACTCGTTCAGGGTGTGGGACGACGTAGGGGCACACACAGCTTAGAAAAAGGACAGTCCACAGATACTGCAGCTGTCAAACATACACAAACATACACATGCACACGTACAAAACTACAGATATGGCGTTAACATTACACACACGCACACATACTCACACTCTCTTAATATACAGGAGACATATTGCTGCGAGTCGCTCAGAAACAGCCCTCAAATTGTTGGACTAGGGAGCGCGGCTGGCGTTGTCCAATTGGTGCTAGCGAGAGCGAAAGAGAGGCGTCGTGTAATGATGTTGATTAATAATGATAATGACGTTGTGTGCGCTCGTTGCGCTCGCTGCTCTCGTATTTGTTTCATTTTTGCGATTTCGCCTCTGCCTCAGCCATAACGGTAGTTGCTCGTCACGTAAGAGCGAGAAAGCATGAACGCGCGCATGCCATCCATTTGAGTTTGAAATCAACAATTGAAGCCCGTCGGCAAATTGAAATATAATAAGGTTGCGAATGCGTAGGTGAGGCAACGGTAAACGGACATTGCCATTTAGAGTCAAACCAACCGCCAGCCAACCAGCCAACCAACCAACCACCATGTTAATATGCGAGCTCACTTTTTCGCTGTTTGCCTTAACTTACTTTGGCTCATAAATAAAATATTTACATTACGAAATTGACGTCTTCGATGCTCGGTCGCATTTGCATGGTTCCTTTTTCTGCGGGCTCCTTCGGTGCACATTGAGCGGACGACAGCTTTCACCTAGCTGTAGGCACGCGCGCGTATCTGTGTGTGTGTGTTTGTGTGAGTGTTTCTCTCTCTGCCTTTCTTTCGCTTACTCGTTGGCTTGCTCTCAGTGTTTATGTGCATTTTGTAGAGATTCGCATAAGAAAATACAAAATGACCTCCAGCAGTGAGTGGATTGATTAGTCTAGGACCAAATACTTTAGGGGGCGACCCAAAAAACGCTTTGAAGTCATTTCGGTTATTAAATTTTGAATACTTGCTTAAGCTGCACGGCAAAGACATCAAAACCAAAACGGATTTTAATTAACGAAACATACATCTCAACAGGAACATTTCAACATCTTGGCTGCGTGAGTCTCAACGTTTTGTTTATCTTATTTTTGTTGTTGGTTAGATGAATGCTAATGGATTTTTGTGTTGAGTAAATAGTCATAAGTAAATCTATAAGTGCAAATATCTTTTAAAGCATAATTAATATGATGTGTTTATTTTGTTAATATTTTTATATTTTATTTGGGGATTTTGATTATTTTAAAGTAATTTGATTTCTATTGGAAAAATAAATTCACTGGTTGTCCTGGTCTATATTTCATGAGATTTATTATTAAATATTATTGTTTAGTTTGAGATTTGTCTTATCAACAAGTGCTAAAAGCCATCTGGATTAAGCTATAGAATAGATCTTAATTTATTTGCGAACTGATGAATAAACTTCCATATTTACGAACATATATTTACTATTTTACATATTTACTTCCATATTTATTAGAAGTCTAAATCACATGCAAGCTGGAAACTTTAATTAAGTCGATCAGTCTCAAATTTAGCTTTTTTCTTATCATTCGACTCTAATGAATGGATTTCAATTTGCAGAGAACTTTGAATCCTGTTAATTAATCCTGTATATCAGACTATACATGCTAGATACATCGTTGAAAATTCTTGCTCTGAATTTGTGGAGCGTTGAGTGAAAGCGGTGCAAAATGAATTT